TTAGTCATATTTGTTTAAATAAATTTTAGTTTAGAATAGAGTACGTAATATTTTTGAAAAAACTCTTAATTTTAGAGGTACATGAAAAGGTCTGAACTTATGTTTAAATATTACGGAGTATTAAATATATTCCTAACTAATGATACATTGATATAAAAATTATTTTATGTTTTCATTAATTAATAAGAAATTGATTATAAAAATTTCTTCATTTCTAAATATGATATTTATTTTCTTAAAATATTTCAATCTTTCTTGAAACTTCAACACAATATTGTATTATTTATTCTTATTCATGAGTGTTCATTGTTTAAAAATGCAATTTATATAAATTATACACAAATAGATAATGTTTTTGAGAAATTTGGCCAAATTAACTCTTTTGGTCAATGATAGTCAATTTTGGATCACTCCAAAGACTTTAGTTATTATATTTGTGTAAAATTTATAAATTTTATACTTTTATGAGAGTAATATGGAAATTCTTCTTGAAAAATACGTAATATCATGGATCAAGACCATCATTCATGAAGAAAATTCAACTTGGAAATATTTTATCGGCATGAAGGAGAATATATTTTGTAAGTATTTTTTTTATTTCTTTTGCGTAATTGTTGCGGTGCTTTTTTGCCTAGGGCCACCAATTCACTGAGGCCGGCCCTGATGCATGCCTCCATTCTTTGTGAATTGAAAAACATAAGTATATATGAGCCTAAATACATATTTTGATGCTATACCCTCTGCATTGTGATTAATTCAGTAAATTTATGTTTTTTTATTTATTATGTACATAGGTGGTGACGGGTTGAGTGCTACTGAAAATTCTGGAAGCTGGAATTCTGGAAAATGGCCATATATAGAGAAGACAGTGCATGTTGAATGTTGTTCAAATTTTGCGTGTGTAATATGTTTTGTAGTTTTGTTGACTGTTTTGGAAATATTGAAATTGTATTGAAAATTTGGCAGTTGGGATTTGGACTAGTCGCTTGTACAATTGTGCATAATGCATTATAACTATAAATTTGGCAGTATTGAAATTGAATTTGTACCAGTACAACTGTTATTTTGAAAGTTGTCGTTTTATGACTTTGATTCTTTGAATGGTATTTTTACCAATTAACATTTTATTTATCACAAGGTAAATAAAATTAAGTATATTATAATCCGAATGAACACAAAAATCGAAAAAACCCTATCGCAATCGGAACTTCTTCAACCCGAAAGGCCCAGTCAGTTTTTCTCCACAACGTAGGGTTTAAAATTATAAACCCGTTAACCGAACAAGTTTAGCAAATATCAACCCGTCCTACACGAACCCGTCCGACGCTCTCCCATACCGGACGGGTTGACCCGGAATCGGCGACCCAGACTAAAAAACGGTTCGGGTTGTTAACAACCCGGAAATGACCAAAACCCTGTTAACCCGTAAAAATTAGGTCCGGACCCGGACAGGAAAAACCCGGACAATCCGAAAAAACCCGGTTTTGAAGGGTTTTTTTCTATATAAAAAAATTGCTTCTAAGCATTTTTAAACCAAGTAAATTGCAACTTCAATATCCTAAATGAAAAAAAGTGATATTTATAAACTCCGTATTTATTTAAATAAAAATGTATAACAAATTATATTCTAATGCAAAATATAAAATAACAAATCACATTATTTATTCTAAAGACTAATGAGACCAAAATTATCCCAATGGATTTCAAACATTGGAGACAGCATTGTTGGAGGACCAAACGGTGGATCTGCAGAAATTCAAATCCCAACAGAGTTTTTACTTTGAGATTTTGAAGATCCGACTGCCAAAATTGTCGAAAGCACATATCCTTCATTTGCTATCAGCACTGATGATACAAGTTATTTGGGAAAAAGAGTGATACTCGCTCCAACGCTTGATGCAGTTGATTCGATTAATGATTATATGCTTAATTTGAATATCTGTGAATTGAAAATGTATCTCAATTCTGACAGCGGGTGTAAGTTGGATGAGGTCTTGATTGTTTAGTTGATTTTTAGAAGCCTGGATTTTTTAATGGTATTATAGCCTCAAGGGTTCCAAATCATAAGTTGCAGTTGAAAGTGATTTGGAAGTGTCACAGTGATGTCATTTGATTACAAGGTACTTGACATGCTAGTTTATTCTAAATATTAATGAGACCAAAATTATATACTACCTCCGTCCCAATTAGAGTTGTAAACGAACCGAATCGAGTCGAATAATGAGATTTTGTATTTGTATTTGTTTAATTTTTTTGAATACTTCGAATTCAAATATGAAACGAATATTAATTTCGATTTGTATTTGTATTTGTTTAACAATACGAATAATTAACGAATCATATATGAATATCGAATCGATTTGAGCATATGTTAAATATTAGTCAAATATCACTTTAAAATAACTTTTCTTATACTCCGTATTTTTTATGATGTAAGTGCATACTATGACTTAATATGTGTTTTTAGAATTTAAATTTAATGGATCGATGCATTTTTACATGGTGCACAATATACTAAAGTGAATTGATTTTATGATTAATAAATATAAATCTATTTCAAACTTTTTGAAATAAATACGAGCACACACATTTTAGAAATTATACTTATAATGTGTGAAATAAGTTGATAATTGTATATATCAAAGTCAAACAACTCTAATTTTATTCTTCAAATCGAATACACAATTATTTGTATTGTATTTGAAAGACATTTGAACTAAAAAATTTGATTTGTATTCATATTTATATTCTGCTTTATTACAAATGGCTTGAAATCTGTATGCAAAATGTATATATGAGCTACACTTTGAGGGTATTGTTATCTTTTAAAATTTATTATGGTGTCATTACTATTATTATTATTATTAATATTGATATTTATATCTTTTATTATTAATCGAATATATTTGATTAATATTCGAATCGAATACACTGATATTCATATTTGTATTTGATAACAACTCGAATCAAATTTAATATTCTTATTTGTATTTGTATTTGAATTTTCCGAATTTGAATCGTCTTATACGAATTCGAATCGCGAATCGAGCACAAATTATTTGATTTGTTTACAACCCTAGTCCCAATGGACTCTACACTCTTTAAATTAGGTGAGAAATAAGAATAGTAAAAATTGTGTGGTTGAAGTTTATGCAGAGGAGAGAAAAATGAGGAGAACCACAAAATAGTTACTTTAATGAGAAAGTGACAAAATTTTTTGGGACAACAAAAAAGGGAAAGTTGGTAAAGTCCAATGGGACGGAAGGAGTATGAAATATTACAAGTGTTTTAAATGTTTGCCTGGTACTATAATTGGTTCATAATTACGAATTTAATTACTTTTTAATTTAATTTTATATATAATTATATGTTTAATAATATCCGATAAAATTTTATCGTTCAGGAAAAGTGAGCTCGGAGCGAGAGTCCCTCTCTCAAGATCTTCGGTTATTCCTAGGGCTCGGCCGCTAGGGTTAGTATCTCCGATCTCAGATCTTTATCGAGGATCGATAATTGCACAGTAGGAGAGAAGATTCAGGCGAAGAGCAGTCCGGATTCGTAGGGGCGAAGAGCGAGGGGCAGAATCGAGGAAGCCGTTTCGGACGAAGAGATCACTGCATGGAGGATATTGTTGCTTCGTATAAGAAGATGTCAATGAAGGAGCAGGATAATGAGCTGAATTTCGACGAGGAGACAGAGGAGGACGGCGAGGAGGAGAAGGAACCGGCGTGCTTTCCAGTAGTTGGGGTTGTCATCACCGACCGCAAGGTTAAATTACCTGGGTTTCAAGAGTTGATGACTTCTATCTGGAAATCGGGGAAAAGGTATGTCTATCAAAGAGATCGGCGAAAGAAGGTATCTGCTAAACTTTAATCATGTTTTGGATATGAACCGTGTGATTGAGGATGGTCCTTGGCTTTTTGAACGGGATTTAATACTGTTGAAAGCTGTTCAACCAGATGATATACCTGAATCGATGAATTTATTTGAGGCTAGTTTTTTGGTTCATAATGCCCCTATAAAGTATAAGAATTTGAGATCTGCCAGGAAAATTGGTAATTTTTTTAGGCTCTTTTATCAAATTTGAGATGAGCCAATTTCATGGAAAGCAGAGCTCTTATCTGCGTATAAGGGTGTGTCTGGATGTTCGTCAACCTTTATAAAAAGGTACTAATTTGACACAGGATGGGGTGAAACATTGGGTAGATTTTAAATACGAAAAATCACCCAGTTTTTGCTTTATTTGTGGTATAATCGGACATTCTGACAAATTCTGTCCATTGAAGTAAGAAGAGGGCTTCGTAGCTGAAAAAACATATGGGGTGGGACTTAGAGCAAGAGGAAGGGTGAAGACCAGCCCAACAGGATTCAACAAATGGTTATGTGATGGAGCCTCTAGCTCAGATGGATATGGAGGTCGGCGGAAGGCTGATCTCGGGGGAGAGCATATGACCGAGTCCAAGACTAGCAAGCCATCACAGCATGAGATTGAAGACAAGGAAGAGACTCCTGGAGACCCAAAGCGCAGAAGGATATGTGATAGTCAGACTGAACAGTGTACCAATGGTGAAGGAATGGCTCTGGATGGGCCAAAAAATGGGGAGGGGCGGGTCAAGTTTCTTAGACCCGCCGTGTCTTCATTTGGTGGTGGTGGGGAAGAAAACAAGTGATGGTGTTTTTCTTATTGTCTGTTTTGTTTATTTTAATTTCGGATACTATGTTCTGTTTTTCTTTTGTGTTTTTCATTCCTTGTAAGGTTCTTGCATTAAGGTTGGGGGATGGAAAGTCTGCGGTAACCGTCATTTGTTTTAAGTTGCCCAATTTTGGTCTAGCGGGTTATACTGTTTTTTTACAGGTGCTTAACTCTCAGTCTCGGCCACAGGCTTAATTCTATTTTTATGAATTAAGCCTTCTTCAAACAAAAAATATATAATTATATGTTTATCACTCCGTATGATATAAATATTGACTGGTTATGTAGCGATTTGATCCACTCGGATTCTCGGGTAGAGCCGTGGTAGGCTCTCTTCTTGGTCCTGTCGTTGTTACAACATAAGGAGTAGCAATTTAGTGCGAAAAAAATCCCAGAACGAAGGAAGACGACGTTTTTATCGCCGTCGAAGTTTCTCACTACACTATTAAGCTAGGGAGAGTCATACTCGTTCACCAAATGGCTACGCATATGAGTATGGGAGAAGCACACAGGCGAATCGCAGAGTACCTGAGCCGCTTCGACGACGCCGTTTCGTCTCAAGATGGCAGATCTCTGAGCAGACTCTTCTCCATCTCCTCCAATTCTTCCTTCATCCTCCCTCTATCCGACGCTCTCAAAACATTCCAGGCTTGTTCTTGTCATTATATATGCATCCTTACTCTCATGGACATGCATATCTTTATTCTTTCTCTTTTTGTACATCGGAATTTCAATTATTTGTGTTTATTCCTATGTCCAGATATCTTCGCTGGAGATATCTGGACATAGGAAAAGAAGCCTCATATCTTTCTCGTATCATATATACATTTCTGGTTGAATAGTTAGTTCCTTAGACTGGACCATGTAATGAATTATGTACTTTTCCATTCTTTTTGGGCCATGGAATCTCGTTATTGGGTTTAAATACAGTTGTTGTTATTGTTGCTGTACACTTTGATTGTAAAATGTAATAAGGTGTTTTATTGAGATTTTTTCAAATTGAATTCGTTGTTACGATTTGATCAGCTTTCAAGAAATTTAAGTAATACTTCCTTTTTAGTTGAAGAAGTGATGCCCACTGTGCACTGCTGCAGTGCATGTCTTATCACTTTCGAAAATGGCCTCCCAAGTCCTAACCCTTGTTTGATTTTTTAAGAGCCAGAAGAGGAAAATGAAAGAGCTAACAAAACAAAGCACTATGTTTATTGATGGAGTGAGGAGAAAATATTGCAAAAGTCTGTAAAAACATATACTTGATATATTTTTGCTTTTAAGATAATAATAACATAGACCAGTTCTTTATTGAAAGAGGTAGAAAGAATATTAAAAAACAAGTCCTATGAAATCCCCCAATCGAGGTAGTGAGATATAAGGAATGTGGACGAGTTTGTGACTCCCTCACTCTCCTTTCCCAACTCCCCCAACGAAACACACATTACTCCAGTTTCCTCCCCTTCCTTTCAGAGTCCTCCAACCCAACAAGAGCATATAGTCTTATAGTGTATTAACAACTTATTTGTTGGTTTACGTTTTCAAGCAAAACTTGTTTGCTTTAGAATAGAACATTTATTCATATGAGTGCAAGTGACCTTTCTAGCTTAACTTTCTGCAATCTTCTAATTGATCAAACAGTTCTGCTGTGTGGATGTAACAGGATCCTAATCGAGTGATCAGACAATCTGAGTGTTCTCACTATGCAGACATACTGCTTCCATTATTCCGTGCTTTCCAGAGCTATAAACTCAAGATCTTGGCTGAGGCCTACCAGGCTTTTGAAAAAGCTGCCAAGTATGTGAAGCCTGTTATCTGATTTCACCATGTGCATGTCTTTAGTTTTTATGGTTATATGATATTATTATGGCATACAGTTCTTTTGTTCAAGAGTTCCGCAACTGGGAATCAGCTTGGGCTCTGGAAGCACTTTACGTCATTGCATATGAAATTAGAGTTCTTGCTGAAAGGGTAAAAACTATGTTTGGTTCACTTCTTCTTTCTTTTTTTAGTGTTTTTGCATTTACAGATACATGTTTGTAGGCCGACAGAGAGTTGGCTTCCATGGGGAAAAACCCTGAAAAATTGAAAGCAGCGGGGTCCTTCCTTATGAAAGTATTTGGGGCACTCGCTAGTAAAGGCCCCAAACGTGTAGGAGCATTATACGTGACGTGCCAACTTTTTAAAATTTATTTCAAGCTTGGAACTGTCCACTTGTGTAAAAGTGTGACAAGAAGTATTGAAACTGCCCGGATTTTCGACTTTGAGGAATTCCCTCTTAGGGATAAAGTCACTTACATGTACTACACTGGTCGTTTGGAGGTCTACAATGAAAACTTTCCCGCTGCTGATCAAAAGTTGTCATATGCCTTGGCACACTGTAATCCTCAAAAAGAGGGAAATGTGAGGTCTGTTTAAGGTCTACTTTTCAAATATAGCCTATATGCCCTAATGTGGATGGATGCCGAATCTATCAATGATCTTGTATTGCCGTTATTTACACTTTGATAGGATGATACTCAAATATCTGATACCTGTGAAGCTTTCAATAGGAATCTTGCCTAAAAGTTTCCTCCTTGTGAAGTATGATCTAAATGAGGTACTTGGTTCTTGTTTGTAGATAGTTTACCTTGTGCAATTAGATGCTGGGCAACATAAAGTTCTCTATTGTATTGCATTTATGTGTTTCATTCATCATCATTACCCTTGTGCCGTGAAGGCTCCCACCTCCGGGTGGGATAAGGGGGGGTCGGATGTACTCAGTCTTACCCCTGTACAAAAGCACAAAAGCACAGAGAGATTGTTTCCAGATGACCCCTAGTGAAAATCACATCCACAAATTGCATGGATTGACTGCTGCTTCATAACAAAGAAGTGCAGACAATTTAGTGAGCCATTTTACTTTATTCCATCATACTCTCAAGCCAAAACATAGTGAGTCTTTGGCTCCATTGTAAATGATGGAAAAAGCATTTATATTTTTCATTGTTTTTATTTATTTTAATTCTGCAGTACAGTAACATAGTGCTTGCTCTTAGAAGAGGTGATCTCCGACTTCTTCGATCCGCTCTACATGAACATGAAGATCAGTATGTTTATTTTGTCATGGTTTACCTGCAGTTGATCTTCTTTTAATCCTATGATAATAAAATGAATTGTGCTTAAGTAGTAATATATCCTGCCCTATTATTAGGTTCTTGAGGTCTGGTGTTTACCTGGTCCTAGAGAAGCTAGAGCTTCAAGTTTATCAGAGGTTACTAAAGAAGATGTAAGCTCAAATGTAGGAACTGCCCTTTGCCCCTATTTTACCAATAAAGGAATTTCGCTAGTGACACTATCTTGACGTTTTGGCAGATACATCATGCAGAAGCTGAAGGATCCAAATAAAGCTCATCAAATTAAGCTGGATTTAATTGTAAAAGCCCTGAAGTGGCTTGAGATGGATATGGATGTTGATGAGGTATTTCTCATTTTCCTTTTTCCGTTTATGTTTTTTTAAGATTTATGTTTTCATTTAATTGTCATGGCTGGGTTGTTAAACAAACTCGTGTTTCTCACATACAGGTTGAATGCATAATGTCTATCTTAATTTATAAAAATCTTATGAAAGGCTATTTTGCCCACAAGAGCAAAGTGGTGGTTTTAAGCAAGCAAGACCCATTCCCCAAATGGACAGGCAAACCAGGAAATTTATAGAGAAGATAATGCGGTTGCTCTACAAGCAATGGTGTTGTACCCTTCTGAGTCCTTCCTGAAAAGGCCATCCTGTCATTAAGTTAAAGAAATTGAACTTAATGGAAGCATAAGGTGTTTATTTTCTTTTAGTAAAAAAAAAAGTGTTTATTTAGGACTGCCTACGGACTAAATTGTATTTTCTTTTAGTTCCAAAATTAGGACTGTATACGGACTAAACTGTATGTTCTGCACTTTGCCCTACCATAAATCAAAGTTCAAAAAATTCTGCAATGCCCTTATTTTGCATTGCCATAAAAGTAAAATCTAGTATCTCACATGTGTGTTGCACATGATGTAAAAATTAGATATAGAAATGTTGATGGAGATAATGTAACATTGACCAGACGGTTAAACCAAGAATCATTGATTGGTGCCCGAACGGTCTACTCCGGGAACTGAAAGGTCTTTATTCGGTCAGTTTTGGAATAGTCGCAACATGAATAGTCACAACATGAACAAGATGATCGTCATTAATGAAGAATATTATAAGTGACATCATTGTGACACTTCTCGGGAGGTCACAAGGTCGAAACTCATCTAGTCACGGATGTCGACATTTAATTAGGATTTTTTTTACCCAATGACAAACCATCGAAAAATGGGGTAAGGGAGTCAGGGACTAAGGGTTGGGGAACACCTTACCAATATATTAAAAGCAAGAGAATACAACATTACAACACAAGGTAGGGGGACTAGACCAAAAATCTACCAAATTGAAAACAAAAGGTGGAAGAAAAATAAAAGACGAGGAGATAAATTTTTTTATCTGGTCTGTTAGATGTTTGTTCTATACATATTTTATGACTCTCGAAGTCTACTTTGTTTTAGTTTGGACTATTTAATTTTGATATGGTTTGAGACTAAAACTATAAAACTATTTCAATTAAAAACATCCTTAATTAGTTGTCACACACTATATCTTGTCACGTCATTCAAGGGTTTATCTTGGGTCAATCATGGGTAAAAATCAACAAACGTATTATAAATTAGAGTAATTCTTCAAATAAGAGTAAAAGATAGATCAAATGCAAATATACGAACTATTGTGTTAAACTACTTAAATAGAAATAATTATGTTGTGTTTGGATAAAAAATATCCTTGTAAGCCTAATGATAGCTCGTTGCCACTACCTGTTGCCATTGTCGTCACCAGGGGCGGACCACTGTTAGGGCAGGGGTGGGCTTCAGCCCAGTCCATTTTTTTTTTTAAGTAGTGTAGGTATATGTTATATTGTCAGCCCATCCCAAAATTATTTCTCAGCCCAGCCCCAGAGTTAATTCCCAGCCCAGGCGCCCAACCCACGGCCCAATAAACAAACTTGGTCTTCTAATCCTTCTCCACTTCTCGGCCTTCTGACTTACGCGGAGCATTGAGCGTTGAAGGACCGATCGATGTGCAAAGAGGGAAAATCGAAGCTTGAACCTGCGAGGAAGAATTGAACACCAGCCGCGCCGCCGCCCGCCCACCTGCGTCGTCCGCCGTCCCTGCTTCTTATCTGGATTGTCCGCCTTTGCCTCCCTCCAGGACTCCAGCCGGCCTCCAGGTACTCCAAAGTCCAAATTGTACTTATCTTTTAGATTTTTAATTTATTAGTTTGATTGACTTGGTCTTTTGGTGTTAAATGTTAGATTGTATTTGTGAATTAATGAATTCTGAAAGAGTTATGTGTTCTACCCTATAACCGTATTATAATGAAGAGTTTTGTATTAATATATTTTTAGCATTTTTTAGTTTTAGGGTTAGGAAATCATTCTGATTTTTAATATAATTTTTCAGTACATAATTAAATACGGAGTAGTGTTTAATTCATTATAATTTTAATGATTAAAGATAGAATTAAATTGTAGAAAATGATTTAGTTACTACTTACTATGCAATTGAAAATTGAGAATACTTATTAGTTTTATGCACAACGATTGTTTTTCCTTATTAGTTATATTTTTTTATATAAGTCTTTTAATTTATACAAATGTTTTTTTAGAATGGATAATGAACACATGCCAAGAAAGGAAAGGTGTTGATTTCATCATTCTTTCCAAAAGTGAATCGTCAAACTGGTGAAGGAAGTTCTGAACCTATACCTACAATAGTGCAAGATGAATTTTGCCAATAAGATAGATGTAGATTCTATTATTGATGAATTTTATACTTTGAAGTCGCGTAAGGCACAACTTAAATGATGTTTTGATGAATATTTAAAGTGTTAATGACTAGACTTATTATTACGTAAGTGTATTTCAATTTTTTCCCTAGCCCACCCCATTATGACTTTTTGGATCCGCCCCTGGTCGTCACCGGTCACTAAAAGTCGTCGCCGCTACTAGTTCCCGCCGTCACCACCGGATTGCCTCGTCACTAAGACACTAATGGATTGGTCCGGTTATGCAAACAAACTAGGAGCAAATAAATATATAAATTAAATACATTGAAATGAAATGAAATGTTTAATCCTAATTAGGGGATAAAAACGTTGAGTCATGTTCGTGCATTTATATTTAGGTTTAGTCCTATTTTCAATTTCTATAAATCATACTCCCTCCGTCCCAATATAAAAGGCACATTTGCGTTTCCACACATTTTTAGGGTGAACACTGTTTGAACATTGTTTGGCACTGTTTGAACACTGTTTGACACTGTTTAGACACTCTTTAGACACTGTTTGGCACTGTTTGGACACTGTTTGGCACTGTTTTGTTTGCCAAAAAGGGAAATGTGCCTTTTATATTGGGACGGCCCGAAAAGGAAAGTGTGCCTTTTATATTGGGACGGAGGGAGTATTATATTTATCTCACGATTGTGAGAAATTGTAAATAAAATGCATCAAATATTAGATGTTAAATAAGTTTGTACAATTTTTTAAAGACAATGTAGATAATTATTTTTCAAGTCGTATCCTTTGTTAAGATATATTATTACTTATTATTGTTAAGGTTTATTCCTCTCGATCCAAGAGCCTAACACCTTTCCTTGTACTTTCGTAGGGTGTTGATGGATCGTGAATGTGTTTAGTGGATTGCTTACTTTATTTGTAGGCACAAGCAATAGCAAGAAAGAGTAGATAAGTAAGTGGACCAAGTTCTATTAAAGACTAAGAACAATTACAACACACCCTACTGAGCTGAGCGCCGAGTCTCTATTCTAAACTGGGAGTACAAAAGAAGTAGAGAGAAGGGCTAGAGATATTGAATACAAGTTAACAACCATTAACAATGACATAAATACTTCTATTTATACTACCATGGGGTAGGTGGTGGTGATGACGTGGCAAACCCTGAGTGGCTAGCCCCCAACCATAAAATCTTCCATTTGTGGTGCATTAAATGCGCTTCTAGCTAAAATCTTTGTTTTCTCACCAAACGTTATGAGGCGGCAAGATGAGAGTCCTCCAGCGTGTCGTGCGACACATGTTGCGAGGGTGGAGTCGTGCCGCGATGGGGCCTTAAAAGATTTTTGGACTCACTTACCGTAAGGGTATTAGGCTTATCCCGTGTTGGGCCAATTACCCCAACATAAGTCCCTCATTTTTTATGTTCCGAGCATGTGCGAGACATAAGGAAATAGAGAAGTAAAAACATCTCTGAGCCGCATGGCCCTGACACTCCTGGGCAACAGTTGTCTTTGCGGTTCTCGAGGTTCTGTAACAACAGTTATGATGGACGGTTCAAATCCCGAGAATTTCATGATGATTACCTGACTCTCCTCCTTCATGTGACACACTGACACGTGTCCTGGGGTATGGTCCTCGCCACGTGTCACTCGGTGATTAAACCTTGCTTCAGCGGCCTCCTATAAATACCTCCTCAAGGTTCTGGATCAATGTTTTCCGAAATTTCCCTTTTCTTCTTTAGAAACCTCTCGCTTCTCTCTACGTTAGAAGTTCGTCGTTAGCTCTTTCTCAGGCAAGAAAAGGTTATTGCCCCTTCCTTAAATTATTTCTTCTCCGTCGTCATTCTCTCTAGACCACAAAATAGATCCTCAAGCCTCGGGGGATCCTGGAAGCTCATTTGCTACTTGTGCTTACGATACGGTCCGCGAGGACCCTCCCGATGCTTCCACGCGGGATGAAATGGGCCAAGCCCCACCTAATGGTGGGAATGATTCCGATGATGAGGCTTTCTCTGGTGACGACATGGTTGTTTATAAGGTTGGCCCTATTGATGACTGTCGTGCCATGAAGTTCTTCTAGATAACGCGTGGGGGTGTGAGCATTTTATCTCGGACCACTTCATGGATTTGATCCCGATCTAGCTGCCGCCACTTGCCGAGTACAGCTTACGGGGATGAGGCTTTCTCCGGTGACGACATGGTTGTATATATATATAAGGCCGGCCCTCGTGATGACTGCCACACCATGAAGTTCTTCTAGATAATGCTCGGGGGTGTGAACATTTTATCTCGAACCACTTCATGGATCTAATCCCGATCTAGCTGCCGCCACTTGCCGAGTACAACTTACGGGGGTAACTCACCCGATGCAACGCCGCCTAGGCATGACTATGATTCATGTGGACTCGGTGGTCGTCGGGCTGCGTTTTCTGATCCACCCATCCATTTGTCGTGCAGATCTTCCAATGCTATGAAGTGGTTCCCGCCCAATTTATGCCCAACTCCTACCGGCTTGTGGTCGGCTTCATTGTGCGGTGCAAAGAGAAAAATGTGGACCCGAGTCTGGACCTCTTTCATTATTTATTTCAAGGTCTCCCCTCAAAATGCCGACAAGTTCATGACGATCAGTAGCCGCACTAGTCCAAAACTATTTAATGGAACTCCTTCATCCATTAAGGGATGGAAGCACCGATCCTCTTCCTCCAGGTCCCTGATGGCCTGCTACCGACTAGGTGGAATGGATTCCCCTCGAAGGTCAAGGATTTGTGCGACACTGATGAATTGGGGGAAGCAATTAAGGTGATAGAGCTTGGCGGCGTCTACCACATCATGAAATATCTCACCCCCCAAGGCACTGGCCGGAGTTGGGATAAGTACTGCCCGTACCTCTGGATTGGTTTTTAAGGGAATCAAACATCGTGGCCCTGGGTGGTCCCCGACTCCCCTCTCATGCCAAGGTTATTGCCTTCGAGATTTAGACCGCCCGACAGTGATAGTTGTCTCCTTTGTTTCTAGGTCTGCCCATAACCACAAAAGCTCATATGGAGGCCGAACGGATGAAGAAAAACAGGGAAGAACGCCTGGTAAAGAAGGCAGAAAAGAAGATGAAGAAAAGCGTTCGCCAAGGATCAAAGTCCTCGGGTGCCACCTCCTTCGCGGCTTCCCACTCTCAGCATGTAACACTTGAGATTT